TAGCATTTTGAAATAACATAACTGTAACTTAGATCCAAGGTGTCTCAACAAATTTTCTGTGCTCAGGCACCTTTTTTACAAGACAGACACATGTATTGTGAAACCATATTTCTTCAAATTTTAGCTTGTTAAGACTGTTAACGTGCTTTACTCAAGGCATATAGACAGACTAGTTGTTTTAAGAAGTCTCTTAAGTGCTAAATTTTTCGAGTCTCAAACAAAATTTTATTTTTTCGTTTGGATAATGCTCTTTTCTGTAAGAAAACCGTTCTTCAAATTTAAGGTTGAAGGCCGAATTTCGTGACCATCCATACAAGATTTAACTGCCACTGGTTGGAATTTGGTTTTTTGCACTTACACCTGTTCGTCTCATCTAAGGTTCTAGATTTTTCCGTACCCCTGGTTCTGTTGCAATGTATAAACGTTGGCGAAGATAGCTACTTCAATTCTCCGTCAAATTATAATTGTTTCATTCTTAAGAAATCTGCTGTAATCTCTCCTCACTACCGTAATATACATGTAGCTTCGTTGATCAAAGTTGCTTTCCAATAAAATTTTGACAGTAGATGGACGTCCCATTTTATTATTCTTGCCATACTTTGGGTGAGTGCACCTTTAAAAGACTCACTAGTTGACAATTTTGATATAAAACCTTCAAAGCTATGTATTTATCGTTAAAAATTTATTGAATCCTTATCTTTATCAATGCATTGTGGTTGAAATTTAGTAGGTTCTAAACTGAATATCTAATACACTTAGGAATACGAATTAAATCTCTTACAAAATGTGGCAGTTATCTTTTATAGTGGTTGCTTAAGAGCTTAAAATAGCTTTTTGGAATGTAAACCATAGGTTCGGTGTTCAACTCTCATTGAGAAAACCAACATGCATGCACAGGGGGAAAACGTGCAACCAGCTTCCTTCGATTGCCATCATCAGAAAAGTAACGACAATTGTATAAATAACTGGAAAAATAGCATGTTCAATTGATTTCATTGATCATAAGTCAAAAAAATCACAAAAATTATGAAATAACTTAAGGAAATCTATTTTATTAAAGAATTGGGGCATAACGTTCAAATGTTTGAAACTGTCACCCTCAATACTGTAAGAACTTTAGGGATTTCTAATTAGCTACAAGTTAGTTTTTAAAAAAATTTATATGAGCGTGTTCAGATTTAACTGATATGAATTTTACGACCACTTGTTGGTGATTGGAGTGAAGTAAGAAACTGATCGGCAGTCGGGTCTCGCAGATCAGTTAGTACAGCACTGGGCCGGAAACCCGATGGTCGCTGGCTCGAATCCTGTGGGGGCCCGAATTTTCATTTCACCTTCAATCATCACTCAGTATCAAAACTACTTATCTGCCTTAGTCAACCATTTATAACCAAATAGATCTCTGAGATATCTTTTCACTTAGCTTCCTTTTCATTACGCACACATGTATCAGTATTTTCAACAGTTCCAAAAATTATTTACACTGAGTAGTAACGAATTGGTTTAAGTTCGACAGCTGCAACTTAATTTTGAATATACGTGGGTCAGTATTCGGAATCAGTAAGCCCCGGTTCAAAGGTCAGACAATACTTTTGTTGATACAGATGTTCCATATGAATGCTGTATTGTAAAGCATATCATAATTATTTAGACATCAATAAATCTATCAAATTATAACGATAACAGATAGATCCATCGGGTTAGAATTGTTTTTCGACTGTCTGGATCCAAAACAATATATTCATCTAGTAAGCTGAAACAAGAAAATGTATTTCCATAGAAAATATTTAGACCTAGATAGGTAAGTTTTAGATGTACTGTATTTAAGCATTATTTGCTATACACACGAAAGGTTACGTGCGTGATCCACTCATTCGCAAGTAACAGTTGATGAGTTATTGTAGCTGATTGGTTTGCGAGTTCAATTCTCACCCACTAGGTCAAGGATTAGAACCCTACTCCTCTTGCCGAGGTTTAAGTAGCCAGGTATCAACATTAGCCCCCTGCCCGAAACAGTCAGTGCAACTCACTGCCTACAGCGTAAACGTGCACATGGTTGCTGAGTCGCCTTCCTCTTTCTCAGGGGTGCTCTTGTTCTCTTTTTCATCAGGTGCTGATACGTTTGTAAAATTCTTATTTTCGGCTAAATGGCGTAACTTGTGAATGGTGTTTTCCACAGTAAAATCTCCGTTTCTTTTATTTTAAACTAAGCTGTAATAAAAATAAAAATAATGTATTCTGTAAGAAACAGTCAAAACTTT